CCTAGTGGCAAGATACTGCACTGCAATCCCCAAAATATATCTATATACTGAAATAATTTTATCAAAACAAATTATGGATGAGTATGAGCATATTTTGCAATCAGATAAATCCCTGGAAATAAGCCTAGGTACATAATTTGTCTACAAAAGCTGGTTTTTGTTGACACATGTCATGTGGAAAGTTGTATCTGTCTCCAAGGTTTTTAGTTACTTTATCTTGAATACGCTTAAAATTAGAATGCTGAGCTAAAAATAAATGTTTTAAGCTTCCCCCCCCCCGAGGTAGAATAAATAGTTTGACAGACTTTCAAAAATGGAAAGTAAGCAAGTTAAAGAAAATTCAGCCAAAACTTAATCATGCTTCTGTTTTGTATTTCAAAGTTCAAATAGTTCTTTGTGTATTTGACTTTTTTAAATTAAGCAAGTATTTTTAGCTCATTTTCTTTTGTAATAAAACAAAAATGTAGTGGCTTTCCCATTGAGCTAGTAAATCTTTTCTAATCTGGGATATATTTGGAGTCAATGTTATCTGCTCTCTAAGTAAAACTAACGATCTCAGCATGTTCCAAAGAGAACTTTACAGTGTGATTCCTAAAAGAAGTTGCCTACTCTATGTTGCCCAGCCATAATTAGCTCCTTATACCTATTTCTCTCCTCTCATTTAAATAGTAATGTCATTTCCTATAGCATTAAAAGCAAACCAACAAAAACTACTTAACATCTATATAAAAAATCAATACATTGCTACTATAAAAGTATAATGATTGTATACCAAAGAAAGAATTTTTCTTCTGCTTTTCAAAGACAGGAGCTAACTGGTGGGGGAGGGCTGGGCAGGGAGAAAATGCAACAATGAATGAATGGAAATCCAAAATCTCTGTAAATGTTCATTAAAAGAAGTAAAGAATAATGAGAAAGACAAAGGCAATAAAAGTGACTTGTCTGGATCTATTTAGAACCTTAATGAATTTTAAAATATTTTTGGTAACTAAGCAAAATATTGGCCACCCCTTATCCCAGTCATGACTTAAGATCTTAGAGAGGTCTTAGTAGTCCTAGTAGAAGGAACTCAAAGATCAGATGATCAAAGATCATTGGCATTCAGAAAGACAAGACACTGTTGAGTCAGAATCGACTCATAGCAGACCTTCCAGTTGGTTTTCAGAGACAATAAATTGCACTGGAGAAAACTGCCCATCTTTCTTTCATGGAGAAGCTGGTGGATTCAAACCACGAGCCATTTGTTAGGCAGCATAACTCCTTTAACACAAAGCCACAGTGTATTAGGAGACAAGCAATTTTGAATAATAGACTCTGGAGCCATGTTCCAGAATTCTTCATAGGTAAAATGGAGCGGCTAAATAGAGAACTAAATGCAATTAGATCCTGGAGGGTAAGTGGTTTTGATTTACTTGAAAGGTGGGTATAAACTGTTCGGGTGTTCTGATTGTGTTAGCAATCAAGTGTAAGCTGATTGGCTGTTTCTGATTTCATTTACAAACAGCTGTTGGTGGGAAGTTTCTTGTTTAGACATAATGGATCTGGTGGGTGGGCATTTGTAATTAAAAGTTGGTTGGGCCCTCAGGCTATTAATTTTGTTTGAAGAGAACATTGTTCTAAGTGGTGCAACACTTGTCAGTTTGCTGTACTGAGATAATTTGGGATTGCTGTGATACTGAAATTTGTGCCACTGGTGTGTCAAATGCCATAAGGGTTTCCCATGTGCACAGGGCTTTGATGGAGCTTCCTTATTAAGACAGATTAGGAAGCAGGATGGGCCATGTGCTTCCTAAATAACAGGACTTTGAAAACCCTACAAACACTGAAGACAGAGAATAATTATAGTAGTGTAGTGGTAGAGCCCAGTGTTAAGTACAAGTAACATTAATTCGTATGTAGCTTTTCAGAATATAGATTTGCTAAACCTCTAGGTAAATTCAAAATATATCAGAATATATCAAATCCTTCGTTTTTTAGAGGGGGGTGGGGGTGGGGGTGGTGGTATGTCCCGTCGAGTCGCTTGAGACTCATAGCAACCCTATGTACAACAGCCCTAAACCCTGCTCTCTCCTCTGCCAATTGCATTGCCTCTGACACACCCATCCCAGTTTCCCCAGTCACTGAATCAATCCACCTCATAGAGGGTCTTCCCCTCCTACACCGTCCCGCCACCCTCCCAAGCATGATGTCCCTCTCCAAGGACCTATCCCTCCTTACAACATGTCCATAGTATGTCACACTAAGCCCCAGAATCCTTGCCTCCAAGGAGCAGCCTGGTTTAACCCTCTCCAGAATGAATCTGTTTGTTTTCTTGGCAGTCCATGGTACAATACTCTTCTCCAGCACCACAGCTCAAAGGCATCTATTCTCCTTCTGTCCTCCCTAGTCATTGTCCAACTCTCTGATGCATAACAAGTGATTGCAAAGACCATGGCCTGTATCAGACGCACCTTAGTCTCCAGAGTGACACCATTGTTCTTCAGTACCCTGGAGAGGTCCCTAACAGCAGACTTGCCCATCGCAATACGTTTTTTTATTTCCTGGCTGCTGGTGCCAAGAGTGTTGACCGTGGAGTAGAAAAGGAATTTTAGTGAAGTACAATTACTAAAATAGTAAATTTGTGATAGTAACATGCTAGTACATCTTACTATTGATCATTGAGTTAACTTTTACTTTAGCAACCTTGTAGAACAGAGCAGAACTTCTCCATAGGATTTCCTCAGCTGTGATATTTACAGTAGTGAATTCTTTCTGTTAGCAGCTGTGGACTTAAGCACTTCACCACTTGTATACTGTGTGTCACAACCAACTCATAACTGACTCTCAGGCTAAAACCATCAGAGCTCCTTACTATACCACTCAAGTTTCAACCATGTAGAATTATAGTGTTATAGTCAAAGGTATAATTACTACTTCTGTGCTTGTGGTTTTATTTTTAGAGTTGAGAATTTCCTTCAATTTCTTTTAGAGGCTGGTGAAAATAAGGTTTCAGTTAAGGTGTAAATTTATTTTCTTGTCCAAGTTATAAGCCCACTGAATTCTGTAATGATTACAAAGCTCTAACCATAAACTACATATTAAAAAATTTTGAGATGCATGCAATGGTTTTTTTTATCAAGTAGACACTACACTGTGATGTGTTTAAAAATCTTATATTAAAGATGTTTGGTGTCTTCAGGTTTTTCCTTACATCTAGAGAAATACGCTATGTACTGAGACAAAAATTTGACCCAACAGATGTTCCAATTCACATATAAATTCCACATGACAATAGAATGTGTTTGTAATCAGGGAACTGACTGCATAAGAAGAAGGCATAAGCATAAGTTCACGTAAGAGAGAACTCATGATTACAGGTAGTACAGAGCCACTGCCCAGGAAGCTGGTGTTAACTGTGGTGGTGGGAGTGAAGTGGGATAGAGGTGGAGGGAATATGCCTTGGGTGAGCAACCTTCACTCCAGAAGGCTCCTGCAGAGGCAGTGACCTCTGTGAAGGTAAGTGATATTTCAAGTCACAGGATAGAAGTAGGGGGATAGGAGTATGAAGCTCTATTGTTGTTATGTGCCTTTGAGTCGCTTGCGATTCATAGTGACTCTGTGTACAAGAGCCCTAAAACCCTTCTCTATCCTGTGCCAAACTCACCGTCTCCGACACACTTTACTCCCACCAACCCACTCACAGAATCGATCCATCTCATTGAGGGTCTTCCTCTCCTGCGCCATCCCTCCACTCTCCCAAACCTGATGTCCCTCTCCAAGGATTGGTCCCTCCTTGCAGCATGCCCAAAGTATATCAGACAAAGCTTCAGAATTTTTGACTCCAAAGAGTAGCCCTGCTTCACCCTCTCTGGGACAAACCTGTTTGTTCTCCTAGCAGTCCATGGTATATTCAACACTCTTCTCAAGGCACAGCTCAAAGACATCCATTCTCTTTCTATCATCCATAGTCACTATCCAACTCTCTGATGCGTAGCACAAAATTGCAAAGACTATAGTCCCGGATCAGGTGCACCTTAGTCTCCAGCCTGACATCATTGCTCTTCAGTACTCTGGAGAGGTTCCTGACAGCTGACTTTCCCAGTGCAATTAGTCTCTTGATTTTCTGGCTGCTGGTACCAAGAGAAGCTCTATAGAGAGTGTTTACAAGAACTATAGAGGCACAGTGGAAATTGTTGGGAGGGATGGGTATAACAAAAGAGGAAAAACAGTAGTGTGAAAGTGTCAGAAGTCCATCAGAGAAAGAGGAACTGGCCTGCAGATCCTAGGCAAATACATAGAAGTCTGGGATATGTGGAAGACTCTTAAGGCGAGTCATCTGGAACTATCAGGGTGTAGCAGCTGTAGCTTTTACTCTTGTTTCCAGGTAGGATCTTGAGAAATTTTTGTCCCCTTTTTTAGATGTCATTGTTATGGTGGAAAGCTCTCCTAGGTTCATATTTTCCTGCTAACGTCAACTTCTTTTATTTTGTTTAATTCTTCCATCTTAGAGGATAGAGCATACTCTCTCCAACTCAAGATGGGGAATTATAAACTTTAAGACACTTGATAGAGTATAAAACAATATTCTGGGAGAGGTAATTGGTGTCTTCAAGTAAATCAACAAATGTTTTTCTTCTTTGTTTACTGATGCTAAACAGACAGTTTGACAAGTAAAAAGAAGAAAAATTGTTTTAAATTCTTGTTACAAACCAGATACCATTCTACCACACAGGTGAATTTGTGAGTCTGATAAGTCAGGATAATAACAAAATGAAACTAAATAGTAAATAAAGTACATATTCTTGATTAATACAACTAAACTTTTCATTCATGTCATTTTTAGTTAGTTGAAAATGAGGATGGAACTTTATTTCCCTGCTCAGAGTAATGTTTTAACTTTAAAATTACTTTTAATATTTGCTTTATATGTACTCAGTTACCTGAATATACATTTATTTTGTTAATCATACATCTCTTCATTGGTTCACTAATTTTTTCTGTTAATTTTTGGGTTTTTGTAGGAATTAGCCCTCCGTAGCCAGTTACCAACTTTGGAACAGGATGGAGGGACTCAGAATCCAGTATCTTCTCCTGGGATGTCGCAGGAACTGAGAACAATGACGACCAACAGCTCAGATCCCTTCCTCAACAGGTTGGTCAGAAGTCACTGTTGACTTCTATATCTATAGAGTATCTATAGATGATCCCAGCTTTAAGATCATCTTGCTGAGTACTTTTAATAGGCTGTCTGTTAATATCTGTGTGGGCCAAAACCCATACCTGTAAATGAATCTCTCCTTAAATGGCAAGTGCAATAAAAGTTGAGGATTAAAAGCAGTCTCCTGTAAGAGGAAGTGAGCTGTTCAGACTTGCAGAGGGGATACTTACTCAAAGTCACAGCCTGTTTGCTTCTGCTCATACTGTTGACTAACAGTTATTTAAAATTACAGAATCATGAAGGGACATGTGGATGCCTTTCTGTGAAAGCAAATGAACCATATCCAGAATCACTTAGAACTGTATTGTGAAGCTCATTGGAAGGAGTTTTCCACATAGGTGTTCAGGCTGGGAGGTTTTGCTGAAGCAGTGCATAAGACTTTACGTTCTTAAGGGATCTATTCAAGGAGAGAAAATGTACCGTTTTACTTCTTTCAAGAAAGGCATTAAGATTAATTACAATATTTGAAACTAGCATAGCTTAGAATGCTTTCGTCTGAGTTAGCACAAAACTTGGGTTTTAAGCAAATTTAAAAAATATATTGTCTAGAATGTTATGCTGAAAATGGTCCAGGTTGAGACAGGTCATATAATTTGCCTAAAAACCATTTATAATTAAGATTTTATTAAAACTGTTTGTTCTAGGTTGTAAAGATGTTTCTGTTTTTAAAAATTATTAAAAAATACTTCTTAGGCACATAACAACAACAACTTGGGTTTTGTACTTTGTTTTTTCATAACTAACTTTATTTTTAAGTATTTTTATTAAAGAAAACTGTTCTGAAGGAAAAAAAAGAAAATGGTTCTGCTACCATTCTGCCACCATTTCATTTCTGTTCTCACCAGTTGAATCAAAAGCTTTATGGTTCTAAAACAAATATTTTATCTTTATAAAAAATAATTAGTATATTAGAATTTTGTATTATTTGCCCCATTGCAACACCCCCATGATACATCTTCAAGGATATGAACATGTACGGCTAAGCACAATTAATAACAGTGCATCTAAATTCCAAAATCAATCTCCATAATAGTCTATGTGTTTCCTACTGCCAAAGGGGCCCTTTAGAGTAGTGAGAGAAGATCTTCACCCTGAAACCCACAGCGTCCCTTTTCAGCAGGAAGTAGCTAAGAGAATACGCCATCCCCTTTCCCTTATGAATCAGGGTGAAGTTTCTCTCAGGGAGGAGTGATAGGGAATGGCAAAGGACACACTGACAAAGGAGATTAAACAGAACTGGCTTTGACAAGCACTGTGGCAATTGGACAATTAAAACAGACATTCGGAGGGCGGGGGAAGAAGAACAATCTGGGGAAGAGGGTAGAGAGAATGGTACAGCAATGAAGGAATGAAAACCCAAAATCCCTGTAAATGTTCATTAATACTAATAAAATTTAAAAAAAAAAAAGATTAATTTTGGGGACCTAATAGAGAACTTTAATTTTGAAGGTTTTCTTAAATGTATTTAAGTTTATGTGTTGTGTTTTTTTCTTCTGACGTAACAAAGGTTAATGTTGTTCCAGAAATTAGATAGGCTTATACAGCATTGAAGTTCTGAACTTCAGCTGAGGCCATTGCAAGAATCTTTTTTCACAAGGGAAATTTTAGATCAGTGGATTTCTATTAATTCTCTTTCATTATGTATTTTATTATATTCTTACGGTATGTATTACTCCAAGGGTAATATGTATGTTAGGTATGTATTATTTATATTACCTATATACTTAAGTATATATGTTGTTGTTTAATGCCGTCGAGTCGTAGACAACTCATAGTGACCCTATGAATGAACAGCCTGAGCACTGTTTGTACAAAGAGTTTCCGGAGGCAAGCCATTTCGGAAGTGGATGCCGCTCCTGCTTCCAGGCTTGATTTAGTTGGGAAGCTCAAATGATAAAGGTAAACTGTTCAGGAAAAAATATAGATGGCATATCCTTCTGGCAGTAGAATAACTAGTGTATAGGGGTGCAAGGGCATGGGATGGGAGCAGAGGGGTAAGGGTGGGCAGGGGGGATATCATAGGGTCATAGATTTGATGGATTGAGGGAGGGGGTAAAGGAAATGGGAAATATTGGCAAGAACCTGAAAAGACAGGGTAATGGTAGGCATAATTCAGTGGGGATTTTCTAAAACACAATGTATGGGAATGATTGTATGAAACAGTGTAAATGAAGGAAATTGTGAAACACTATATGAATTTTGTATGCAAACCAATATCAAGTAAAAATGGAGGGGGCTGCAAAACTAAGTTGAGAATGAGACAGCACTTGGAGATTTTGGGAGGAGGTGAGAGGGAGATTACAGAGTGGCAGATAGTGTACTGTTGCTGCTGTTCACCTCTGTCCTCAGAATCCAGTGTAGCAGATATTCAATAAATGTTTATCATGTGATAGTAGCTACAGGAGATGCAATTCTCCACGAAGTGGTTCTCAATCTGGGAAATAACCCATGTGCTTCCCTCTACTTTGTAATGAATGCTGCAAAACTCTATAAATTCTTCTGTGTGTGCTTGCCATGTGCCCCATGATTGGCAGTGGAAATAGAGTGATGACTCAGACCGCGCCCTTGGCTTTCCACATCAGGGCTAGCAAAATAATAAGAGATACATCTGAGGCTTTTTCTGACAAAGCTTCATAGGAATGGTCTCCAAGGCAGGTGTGATTTTTTTTTTTTGTGGGTTTTTCTTTCTTTTATTTTTTTCTTTTTTTTTTAACTCTGTGAGACCTGAATCTTTTCAAAATGAGAAACATTAGAGCAAACCAATGATTGCGTGAGAGAGTGAGGAGAGGTGGCGAGACAAGGCAAACGCATTGAGTAACTTAGGAAGGAAATTTGGGGTGCTGAAAAGTTGTTACAGCTTTTAATTTTTTATTTTTTTTTTTTTTTAACTTTTGGGGTAAGTTGTTTCAAAATGGCCAGTTTGAGAAAAGTTAAAGTTCCTATTTAAGGGATCCTTCTTATGATGAGGTATATGCTTCTACTTCCCCACCATCATCCCAAATAAAAGCAAGGACTTCTTATCATTGGTGACTCATCTGTTTTGGCCCAGTCCAAAAAGAAACTTCCTTTTATGTTTTAGGATTTTTTTTCCCTTGGCTTATGCTTTCTGCAGCAGAGGTAGGAATTTAACATAAGTCTAGCTAGTGCAGGCCTGCCTCACCACCCACCTGGAGCTTGGTTTTGACCTCTGTCTTTGCTACCACCACCTGGAGAATTGAAGCCTTAGAGCAAGTAAGCTTTGAGGATCCCACCAGATATAATTGGTATTACAGAGTGATTTCTTTCTGTAAGCTTGAAAAACTAATCAGGTGTACCAAGGTGACATTTTCCCCCAACCCGTACTGCCACGAAGGCCAAAACCTAAGGAGAGATCTTTGCCTCTTAAAACTACCAGCCTCAGTTAGGATCAGCTTGTCTGTTTCACTTCACAGCACATGGGCAAGGTTGGACCCTGAAAAAGGATGCGTGTTTAACACTGCTGGGGGAAATATCTTTTTCATGTTGTTGGTGTTCATTTTATCTTGAATTGGTTTTTCTCAGTTCTGTATTATTACTCTGATTCTGTGTAGTGGTACCTATCACTCTCGGGATGAGAGTACAGACAGTGGACTGAGCATGAGCAGCTACAGTGTTCCCCGGACCCCAGATGACTTCCTGAATAGTGTGGATGAGATGGATACAGGTTGGTGTTCTTAATTCCTGACCCTCTGTGAGAAACGGTCTAATAAGTCGTTGTTAACAAAGATGATTAAAAAGAACATCGTACAACTTAAAATTGAGCCAGCACTATTTCTGTATGGCAGTTTATAATTTCTTTTCTCAGTTTTTAATGTCATAAATGTCTTAGCTCTATTTGAAAAGTAAAACTGATATATGGCTTATATTAGCATTGAGTTAATTAAACAGTATTGAGTTAATTACTAATTAAGAGCTATATTCTTGCTTTTGGAAAGAGATTTCTTTATGTGATTGAGTGCTTGCCTCTCTTGTCTCTTTGGACTTTGGAGGTTTTATGGTGCCATAAGCCAGATGTGGAAGACTAATTGATCTACTACTCTGCTGTCTTAGAGGAGCAAAGGAATACTTGCCTTGCAGGTGTAAGGAGCCATTTCCCCTGTAGCTTACCTGATGACCCTGGCTTTGAAACCCTGCCAGAGAGCACAAATTGGCTGGGGAGATGGAGCCATTCTCTAGATAGCTAGTCCTTTAATTGTCATTTTTTCTTCTGACAGTGTCTGGCAAGTCTTTTGTGACTGAGCTCATCTACCTCATGACTTTGATACTTCCCCTCAGCTTATCTAAATTTTAATCAGCCCTAGGAGCCACTTCAAATCCATCCCTTTCACAAAATCTTTCTGTACTCACTGATCTCTCTCTCCTGAAAACCCCTCCAGCACTTAATGGCTTATGTTGGGTTTTTTCTGAAAGTACACTCCATTGAAGTTCTGTAAAATGTTAATGTTGTCTGTACAAAAAAGCTTTTGTGGTAGATGAGAGTTGAAATACATTTCTGGGAGACTGGTTTTGTTTATTATGAATATGAATCTACAAGAGTAGAAAAGAATGCTTTATTTATCCAGTTCTCTTACTTTATTTTAGTGTTTCACCAAAATCTACTTAAGGGTAAGACTAGTCTGTGTCATTGAGTTCTACATTTATCTTGTGGTGGTACAGGTCTGCTTTCTCCTTTGGTGCAAGGGACTTGTTCTTTCTGCCTTGCTGCAAGTAAGTTTCCAGAGGATCTTTATTTTCTTTCATGACCCACTCACTGCAGCATGTGATAATAAGTGATCAAACTGTTGGTTGAAAATCTGGATAAATGCTGAAGCAAAAGTAAAGTTGGTTGGGTTATTTATTTTAAATCTCTCAATTGTTTGCCTTAAACTTTGGACATTAATTCAGGTGGTTGGCCAGAAGTGCCTTTCTTTCTTCATGTATTTCTCTGTATTTATGTGATACAGCTCAGACATTTGTCTTTCAAGTAGACGTCATCTCTCTCTGTTCCAACTAGGTGATACTATCAACCAAAGCACCCTGCCCTCGCAGCAGAACCGTTTCCCAGACTACCTTGAAGCCATTCCTGGGACAAATGTGGACCTTGGAACACTGGAAGGAGATGGAATGAACATAGAAGGAGAGGAGCTGATGCCAAGTCTTCAAGAAGCTTTGAGTTCTGACATCCTTAATGACATGGAATCTGTTTTGGCTGCCACCAAGCTCGATAAAGAAAGCTTTCTTACATGGTTATAGAGCGCTCAGATAGATGGAATTCTAAAACCTGTGAAGGATCTAAAGAGATAAGACATATACCTGACATTTCCAAAAAAAGCAGTTGCAATCTTCTGGCTCATGCAAAAAAAGAGATGAACAAACGTCCAGCAAGATTCTTTCATCTACTATTTTGCTTTTTTCTTGCGCATTGCTGCTGTTAATATATTGCTGACCTCTTTCACAGTTGGCTCTAAAGAATCAAACAAAACCAAACCTTTTTTGTTTCTTTTGTTATTGTAACTACTGTTAATTTTAGGGGCTGGGGAAAAGTGAGCCTGTTTGGATGATGGATGCCATTCCTTTTGCCCAGTTAGATGTTCAGTGATCATTTTAACTAAGTATTTGGACTTGGAAGTCAAATGCTTCATGTTATAGCATTTAGTTTGTTCAAGCAATTGTTTCTTCAGCTGCCTTTGGTCAGTGGAAAAACATGACTTACTGGTCTGACAAGCCAAAAATGTATCTGATGTTAAGTACTTAATGTTGATTTGAAGAGATAGCTGAAGACTCTTTTTACTGTCAGTGTTTCTCCCCTCCTTGTAGTGCTATCCTTAGTCACATAGTGACCGTGATTATATTTTAGGAGCTCATACAGCATGAAACATTTTCCATAGAAATATATTAATTATTTGCCATATACTCTAGTGTAGATCTTGTGTTTTTGTTTTTGGTGTTTTGTTGCTATTGTTTGTGTTTTGTTGTGGTTTTTTTTGTTTGTTTGTTTGCTGGTTTATCAGAACTTCAGCAAATTACCTTTGTAGTGAATTTGTTTATAGTATAGCTTGGGGAGATTATTAGAGTTCTTTTGGTGAAACCTACTTCCCCCTCCTTCATTTTTTACTATCTTATTTAAATCTTAATTATCTGCTCTCTCTATATATACCCAACACACTTATAATGCTTATGATAGTGTGATTACAAAGTATATCATTTCTTTTGTTTTAGGTTTTCCTACCTTTCAGTTTATTTTAAAGCAATAGCTCTGAATGTATGCGTTCAGAAGACATGGCAAGTTGTTTATATTTCAGATAGTTTACATATGGTTGGGGCAGTCTGCAGGTGTTTAAGATAGTTAGTGTTCTAGAAAAGGTTATTTTTATGAATTTTGCTTAGAGAAGTACCACGTACCCTCTGGGCATACTAAATATTATCTGATGAATTTGAAAAAACAAAAATGGCCTTATTTTCTCTTAGTCCCTTGGACAACTTTTTCCCCCGCACTCCTCCTTTGGACAACTTTTAAGTCTCTTTCTTTTTTTTTTTTATTTTTTTTTATTATTATTATTTTTGTGTGAGTGGTAATCAAATCAGATCTGACTGGTACAGGAGGAGATTGTCCCTCCTTGTCCCTCCTTCCCCAGCAGAGCATCTGGTGGATTCGAACCATGCGCCTCTGGGATTGTAGTTGCAGCTCCTTCCCACTAGGCCACCAGAGCTCCCCTAACTTTTAAGTCTTGATGAGAAGTTATTAAGTAAGCTCATACCTTCCTGAGCGTTGGGAGTAAAGTCTAGCACTAGTTTTCATTTGTAATGAACACATTAAAGACTAGATTGAAAAACTGCCTGCAAGATTGTTCTTACTTCTATATCCTGAGAATTGAACCTGGACAGTGTATTAAATACTGTAAGGTTGTGAGCTAACTGATAAAATGATCAGATTAATAAATGTATATTGGTAGTTGAATTTAGCAAAGAAATAGATAATCTTGATTATGCCTTTATTTTTACAAGAAGAGATATAACTAGAGTGTGTCTACAGGAGTAATGATGGTTTCCAAAGAGTATTTTTAAAGTAACAAAATGAGCAAGAATCAACTCTCCAGTATAAGCTATAACGTAATAGTTGGTTGTGAATTATAATGGCACCAGCCAACACCTCTGTGATTAAGGATCTTTCAGTATTTGTAGGATAAGCCCTTATTTTCAAGGGTTTATACCAGACATAAAACTTCTTTCCTGGCCAAAGCTGCTCTGAAAAGCCTGTGCTTGGGAAAGTAATTTTTTTTTTCAAATTAAAAGAAATAATAAATAAATCTTAAGTATTTTGGCCCTTTGATTTTAGAGGAGTACAAAAATTAAGATTAATAGGTTTTATATTAAGTACTTGCAGTGCTCAAGGAATGCAGTTTCTGTATTGTACATAATGATTTATAGGTTGACATTAAGGTTTTTATTAAGAAAACATAAGAGATTAAATCTGGAGGGGAAATGGCCACTGTGCAGGAAGCATTGATTTTTTGGTAAAAAAAGAAATAATAAAATTCTACTTAGAATGCATAGTTGAATATATGGATGGTACAGCATGTTGTTGTTTTCATGTGCAGAAGATCAAAGATCAAAAGCTACTTGGAAGGAATGTGTACAATTTGCTACTAAACCAGAGAAAAAGATAGCATCTTTATATATCATCAGAGTAGTTTTAGATTTGGGCAAGGGTGGGAAGTAGGGGAGCTGTGGAGATTTAGTGGGACCTTGATAGAGAGTATAAGCTTCTTTTCTCTTCAGTAAAGTCTTGTCTTGCATCGTACTGTTAATAAAGACCGTTTGTAAAATCTTAAGTACACCCACAAAACAAGAATTGTACATCTCTTAATTTCTCCTCAACTTTCATTTGCCCAACTAGTTATACCTCAATGTTGTAGCAGCAATGTGGTACCTGACACAGAGTTTTGATCTTATCACATACCCTCTGTAATTAACCAGAAAGAGACCCACACGTTCTTCTCTGAGTTTTAATCATCGCTTTGATGTGGTCTTATATTTTATGTCCTTGTATCTAATGTAATGCTTCTTGGTTGTATTGGGTCATGTCGGGATAAGACTTTAACTGGGTATTCTTGAACTGCTTTTACAATAAACCAATTTTATAATCTTTAAATTTATCAGCTTTTTTAATATTTGTGTTCTTTTCAGTTAGAATTTTGTAGCTCTAAGGGTGGATAATGGAACACATTGATTTGGAGTCTCAAATCTGAGAGATTTTAAATTTGTGGTATAGTGCCTTTTAAAAAGTGAAAACCGAAATTAAAGAAGTAACTTTTTAAATATCATTGCTATTTTAAATATTCACATTAAATATTTCTTTTATGTAGCCCTATTGCAGAAAACCTAAGAAAGAGCAGTAATTCAGAATTCTGTGTAATTCAGAATTCGTACCAGTGTTGGAACTCAAGCAGTAAAACATGAGAGAGGCAATTTCCAGTGATTAAAAGGTTTCATGGTTTATGCACATCTGACAGATGAGTGCTCAGATGAATTTTATTTTTACCAAGCATGTTTTTATATGAATTGTGGGTGTGCCTGTCTTAACAATTATTTTCTGTACCTTGAAAAAGTATTCTTCACATTTTAAATGTTTTATATTAGAGAATTCTTTAATGCACACTTGTCAAATATATATATATATAGAGAGAGAGTACCAATGTTACCTTTTTATTTTGTTTTAGGTGTAAGAGCATGCTCATGTTAGGTACTTACATAAATTGTTAATTCATTTTTCTTATGTAATGCCTATTTTTTGTTTTATGTGGTTCAAATATATTCTTTAAACTCCTCTGGGTTGTTTTTAACAATTGTTAACATTTAAGACTTCTCTCTCCTCTCTTTCCCACATCCTAAGTGCCATCAGTACAGTAATGCTATTGATAAAAATAACTAAAAGGGATATCTGTGGTAACTGATAAATGAGCTAAATTTAAAGTTAGTAGTCTTATAATACATGGCTAAAAATGTAGATCTAATTCTTTGAACTGTTGTTGGGCCATCATTTTCAATTGATTGCCGTTTTATTGTACAATTGTGCATCCTTTTTTTCTGAAGTGCCTTTGACCTATAGAAGCAGAGAGTACAATGAGAAGAATGTGGCATTGCATTTCCAAACAGCCTCTGGTTTTATTTCTCCAGAATATCCTCTAATGGTCCCTAAAATGTGACACTGGTGTTGGTGAAAATTATCACTTAAAATTTTTGCAAATAAAAACATTCACAAATTTAAGTGGTAATTCTGACGATTGAATAAGAAATAGATTTGATTGCCTTTGAAGATTTTGTGAGATCAATTTACTAATACATCAGGTTTATTGATTCCATTGTCTATGCAAAATATAGTGGTCACATACCTTTGCTCAAAATCATATACTGTGTCTAAAAACAAAGAAGTTACTCTAAGGGGCTTTTTTTTTTTTTTAATTGTGTGTATGTGTGTGTGTGTACCGTCAAATCAGATCTGACTGGTACAGGAGGAGATTGTTTTCCCGGCAGAGTGTCTGGTGGATTTGAACCGACTAAGGGGCTTTTTATCATAGAGTTTTATATCATAGAATTTGAAGTTTGGTGATGTGATTCCAAGGAGCCCTTGTGGTCAAAAGTAAAATGGTTGACAAGTTAACTAAAGTTTGGCAGATCAAACCCACCCAGCTTTGTAGGGGATAGACCTTGTGATCTGCTTCCATAAAGATTACGAAACCCCAATGAAGTGGTTCTGCTCTCTGCCACTTGTATCTCCCTGAGTTGAAGCCAACTTGAAGGCAGCCAGCAACAACGATATAAGTACAGCTTCATTCTGGATCCTGTGAATTAGAATCGTATTTTTTTTTTAATTTTATTGTGTGTGTGTGTGTGTGTACGTACCGTCAAATCAGATCTGACTGGTACAGGAGGAGATTTTTCCTCCTTCCCCGGGAGAGCATCTGGTGGATTCGAACCATGCGCCTCTGGGATTGTAGTTGCAGCTCCTTACCACTAGGCCACCAGAGCTCCCCAGAATCGTATTATTTTAACTCTTGAGTCTGATTGATAATTTAGAAGCATCTATAACCTGGGATTATGAAAGAATGAGTAAATAGGACAGGTTGTTCCAGATTCTAAAGTAGTACTCATGGAGTTCCCATAAGTTGGGTCACTTCAGTGATGACAACACAAGTTGGTATCGTAGCCTTACTGAGAGTCTGACATTAATGTCCATACTCTCGAAATTTTCAAAATCCGTTAATTACCTCACTGGAACTAGGAATAAAAAGTTCTTTCGTCACTGAAAGTGGTGAATGGGTTATGGATTTCCATCTTGGCATTTGAGGTTGGGAAAGACCAGTATCCCCAATGACTTGATCACATTTTTAAAAAATCATTTAAATGCCATATAAACTGGCAGCCAGACCATCCCTTGTCCTGGTTTTTAGGTGCTGTTGAGTCAACTATGACTCACCGCAATGCTATGAACACCAAATTTGAACCTTGACCTAGCCTGAGTCATCTTTACAATCTCACAGTGTGCTCCGACCCATTGTTACAGTCACTGTCGGTTCATCTTGAGAGTCATCTCTTCATTTCTCTCTGCCCTGTCACCTTTCCTCGCTTCATGAGTTTTTTTCCCCAAGTACTGGTCCCTTCTTGCCAATGCCTAAAGTATGTAAGATGAATTTTCAACCATTCTTGCCTCTAAGGAGTACCCCTGGTTGCACTTCTTCCAGGACTGATTTATTTATTTAGCAGTCTGTGGATAGTTGT